ATATCACTGGGCATGGGGGAAGATCAAGGTTGTTGACTACGAAGTTGGTTGAGCTCCAGTTGCAAGTGTAGTTGGTTTATTCAGTGCTAGATTTTGAAAGAGTGGCATGAAAGGATGTAACTAGAGTTCATTGGGAGTGAGTATAAAAACACTGGAGAAACTGGCACTGGGCACCTACTGAATTGTGGGGGACCCTGCAAGCAATGGGGTGGGGTAGGCAAGAACGATACATTGGGATTAAGAAGTCATCGCTATTACCTGTTTGTTTCAGACTGCTTAGTACATAAAAGTTATATATTTACAATATTGCAGTGCTATACCAAATAATATCCGAGTAGAATAATGAGTATGAAAGTGTTATATCCACCTTTTGTTAGCATTTTCCTAGTGAATCTTTTTCCATTCCTTTATTTATTTATTTATTTATTATTATTCTTTTGCGTTACACGGGCCTTTCACTGTTGTGGCCTCTCCCGTTGCGGAGCACAGGCTCCGGACGCGCAGGCTCAGGGGCCATGGCTCACGGGCCCAGCCGCTCCGCGGCATGTGGGAGCCTCCTGGACCGGGGCACGAACCCGCGTCCCCTCGGCAGCATCGGCAGGCGGACTCTCAAACACTGCGCCACCAGGGAAGCACCCCCATTCCTTTATTTTTAACTTTGACATATTGTTTTGTGTGTCTCTTGTAAATAGAAAATATTTTCATTTAATTAAGAATATATCAAAATGTAAAACAGTGTTTTGATTAGGAAGGTGAATAACTGTCAAGATTCTTACCTTAAAGAAGCAATTATAAGAAAATACTAAAAATTATTAACTATATAACTGGATGGGTTAAAACAAATAGTTCACCAGGTAGCTTGAAATACAATTCATTAAATCTGAATCTATAAAATTGTAATTACGTTAGAGTAAGTGACCAGAAGAAAAAGAGGTGTGGAAGCAAATAGTACTATTAGATCACACTGAACCAATTTCAGATTATTAGGGATTTGACATCCCGCTATTGCTGAAAGAAAAAATGACAGAAAAAAAAAAAGATATGTGATCAATCTATTTTAAAAATCATTTGAGGCCTTGGAAAAGGGTCAGAATTTAACTTGAAATTTTTATATAAGAAAAATTCTCTAATAAATCTACATCTTAATGAAGTATTTGTCTTTTAGCTAAAAGAGTAAAAAATACATCAATCTTAAAATTCCTGGGAAAAAAACTTGAAATATGTTTATCATATTTATATAAAAATACAGTATAAAGGCTCCACTCTCAAGAATTCCAGGAGTTGAGTATAGTTTTATTGTTGTTATTGTTTTCATTTGTTTTTTCCAGTAGGAGGATAGGTTTTCGTTGAAATATTCATGCTCTCTTACCTGATCCACTTTGTCATATTGTGAGGAAGGCTGGCTAAGGATCAGAACCAGGAAAGTCAGCCTGCCCACACTGGCATCAAACTTTGGGGATTATGAGCATCAGATAACTCTCTGAGTGGACCTACTACAAATAGCTGTGAAATACATTATGCACGCTGACATTATTCAGGCAGCTGCATTTTCTGTTCTGATTATCTTTGCATAGAATAAGTTTTTTTCTCAGTTTCTGTGTTAACAGAAAGAGGGTTAAGATTGGATGGTCAGTGTGGTAAACGTGGACCAACACAACAGTGCCCAACAGTTACCAAACAAATTCATTTTCATAGCCAAGCTAAGCCAAAACTTAAAACACAAAACAATCATATTCTCAGGTTAAGACAGAAATACTTTGTGGGCTATAGTGAGCTAACTCCAACAATAACATTTAACAATATATCAAAAGTCCCTTATATCAGCCATGATTAATTAGTATAAGGTAGCAATTATACCATTAATATGGAAAGACCAAGATATTATCTGAATGAAGTAGTAATTAAATCAGAAAGGATTTAAAAGATAACTCTGTCAGAAATCATGTCATCATACTTGCTGGAAAAATAATCATTGTTGAAGCTGAGTTATACTTGGAGGTTCTGTTTTCTCTACTTTTGTATATCTTTGAAATTTTCCATTAAATAAGTGAAAAGGAAACAGACAAAAGTTAGAAAAACCTAAATCACTTTTTTTTTACTTCTCTAGAAGTAAAAATAAAGCTTTAAGTGGCAGGTTATGGAAGAGTGAATGCTACAATGAGTATAACTAGACTTTACCACAAATTGAATTCATATTCATTAAAAATTTTTCATTCATTTTTGTGTGTATAAGCGTGTTGGTTTCAGTGCTCATAATATACGTGGTAAGGTTGAGTAAAATGTTTTTGTAAGTATATATCACAATATAAATGTCAGATATTCTTATTCATTCTGAAAATTACCAGTGGCCGATGTCACTGAAGCTGATAGAGGGCAGTATGGTCTTGTGATTTTTAGCAACAGATCCTGAGAAATGGGCTGTGATCCCAGTTTTGCTTACTAAGGAAGCAGCCCAATTCAATCGTCATTTAAGTGACATTCATTAAGGGTTCAACACCATACTAGAACAGCGTGACATAATGGTAGGTTTGGAGTCACACATGGGCTAGAATCCTGGCTTGGCCATTTATAGTCGTGTGATCTTGGGCAAAATAATTTAAACTCATTGGACCAGGCTCAGCTTCGTCTTCTGTAAATGGGAACAGTAATAGCTAACTGAGAGGGTTGTTGCAAGGATAAAATGAAATACAGCCCATTATGTATCTAGAACAGTGTCTGACATGTATTGACAGTATGTGCAATAAACGGTGGTTATTATTACTGTCTGCCCCATTGAGTATGATATATTCTCTCCATAGTGATAAGTAGAATATAGAAATATCCATAGTGGTAAGTAGAATGCAGAAATAGGTAATATCCTACTGCAGTAGGCATTCTAAGATAGATACGTACGCAGGGTAGCCTAGCTCTTGACATGGACAGCATTATTCAGATGAAATTTTCTTGCATCAGTCTTTCAGGCTCCTTTACTTTGGGGGAATCTAACATTAAAGTTCCTGCAGCCTCCTGAGGCTGGCATTTTGAGAAATCAGCCAAGAAGGAAACAGGCTGAAACCTATTCCACCCTCTAACTTTGCACCTATTCCACCCTCTAACTTTGAAACCTATTCCACCCTCTAACTTTGCACCCACTAGCTTCACAGCTGGACCTCTCTTCCAGGTGCCCTTATTTCCAATTGATCTGACTCTAGGTCTGCCCCTGGCACCATGACAATTGCCTGGAGCTTCCAAAGTCAGATGCCACCACCCCTTTCTTATCCCTCATATCAGACCACCCCTTGCATGCCATGGCCTGGGTGGAGTTTAGCCACTCGTCCTAGGCCTGAGTGTTAAGACTTCTATGCATCTCCGCAGTTAAGAGAGCATCCACATATATACAATGGAATGTTGCTCAGCCATACAAAGAAACGAAACTGAGTATTTGTATTGAGGTGGATGGACCTAGAGTCTGTCATACAGAGAGAAGTAAGTCAGAAAGAGAAAAACAAATACGGTATGCTAACACATATACACGGAATCTAAAAAAAAAAAATGGTTCTGAAGAACCTAGGGGCAAGACAGGAATAAAGATGCAGACGTAGAGAATGAACTTGAGGACACGGGGAGGGGGAAGGGTAAGCTGGGACGAAGTAAGAGAGTGGCATGGACATGTATACACTACCAAATGTAAAATAGATAGCTAGTGGGAAGCAGCCACATAGCACAGGGAGATCAGCTTGGTGCTTTGTGACCACCTAGAGGGGTGGGATAGGGAGGGTGGGAGAGAGACACAAGAGGGAGGAGATATGGAGGTATATGTATATGTATAGCTGATTCACTTTGTTATAAAGCAGAAACTAACACACCATTGTAAAGCAATTATACTCCAATAAAGATGTTAAAAAAATTTTTTTTTAAAAAAAGAGAACATTCACCATTTCTAACAATTGCTTTCCCACTGCTGCCCTCTCCTTGGCTCTATTTCTCACCCACCCCAACTCCTCCTAGCATGCTACATGACATGCATAGTTATCTAGCATGTAGAGGATATTCACTAAATATTTGTTGAATAAATGATGTTTATGTTAATCATGAGGATGGGAGGATATTCAGCTAAGCATGGGCATGGGTGTAGGTAGTTCTATAAGTCATTGTATATTTAATACTCAACACCAGGCCTTTTGTTGATGTCTTTCTATTCATTCTGATTGTCTGAAGCTCATTCTCTAACCTATTTCTCAGGAAAGGCACATGAGGACAACATTCCCTAATAGCAGTTTCTTTGTGCCCTTTATACTTGAGTCAGTTTTGCTCTAAAACAGGTATTTCAAACTTTAACATCTCAAACTTCTCAAAACCCTGATCATTCTCTTCTATTTTCTCGTTGGCGATAGCGAACCTCACCTCCTACATTATAGAGGAAATAGAAGCCCCATTTCTTAATATAAAATATATAGGCCTACTTTCCTCCTTCCTGTCATTACAACAGAGAGTCTATCTTTATTGCTCTTTAATGTAAATCCCTCTTCTCATTTAGATTCCATTCCCTCCTTCTTTTTAAGGAACATTACACTGTCAATTATAGTTTTTTTGTTCACGTATATTTAAACTCTCGATTAGACCCTTCTCATCAAGTTTTAAATACATTCCAGTCATTCCCATTTTTAAAAAAAAGTCACTCAATCCCACATCCCCCTCCAACTATCATCTTATTATCTCCTTCCCTTTATGGACACACTTTATGAACGTGTGATTTGTACGTGCTATGTAGCTGCAGTGGTTGCCTTCTCAATATCCATCTCCCATTCTTCCACAGAAGCTGATTCTTTTAGAGCAGCAATGGGTCAAGCTAAAGAGTTACATTTCCTAGCCTCCCTTGCAGCTAGGAGTGGCCACATGACACAACTCTGACATATAACATGTAAGCTGAAGTCAGCTGAGGATTTATAGAAAATGCTTGCTTTCCTGGTATAGACACCAGACCTTTCCCTTTGATGTTTCTTTCTTCCTTCTGTCTGTAGCACTGGCTTGAGAGTGAGCAGCCATCTTGTATTCACAATGGAAAAAAAAAAAGCCCATATTGAGGATGACAGAGCAAAAAGAAGGGTTCTAGGATATTGATGACATCATGGAGCACTGCACCAGCCTGAATGTCACCCTTTGTCATTTTTGTTATGTGAGAAAAATAACTCTATTTAGTTAAGCTACTGTCATCAGGTTCCATTACATGTGACCAAATGTGATTCCTAAACTATAACCTTGCTCCCTATGTTTCCTCACCTTTGACTCATTCTCAAACCATTCCATTCTGGCTTCTGGCCCATCATTCCACTGGGCTCACCAATGACCTGCATGTTGTGAAATCCAGGGGACACTTTCAGTTCTCGTGTTACTTAACCTCCCAGCAGCATTTGACTCTGTGACTTCCTTTTTGAAACAGTCTTCCCGTGGCTTCTATGGGTTTGCTCCTTCACCTCCAGCTGCCCCCTCTCTGTCTCCTTCATGGGTTAATCTTCCTCTTCTAGCCAAACTTACCATCTTTCAGCCTCTATGACATACCACAGCCTCAGCAACATGCCTTTCCCTCTTTCTGGAATGCTCTGCCCTCCCTCCTTTTGCCAGCTAACTCTTCCTCACCCTTCAGTTCTCCATCCTTTTTTTTTTTTAAAGGTTTAATTTTATTTATTTTTCACTGCATTGGGTCTTCATTGCTGCGCACAGGCTTTCTCTAGTGGTGGCGAGTGGGGGCTACTCTTCGTTGCGGTGCGTGGGCTTCTCCTTGCGGTGGCTTCTCTTGTTGTGGTGCACGGACTCTAGGTGCGTGGGCTTCTCTTGTTGCAGAGCACGGGCTTAGTAGTTGTGGCTCATGGGCTCTAGAGCGCAGGCTCAGTAGTTGTGGCGCATGGGCTTAGTTGCTCTGCAGCATGTGGGATCTTCCCGGACCAGGGATCGAACCCACGTTCCCTGCATTGGCAGGTGGATTCCTATCCACTGTGCCACCAGGGAAGTCCTTCCATCCATTCTTCACTTCCTCCTTGTGAGGTCAAATTTCCCTTATTCTATATCCCTTCATAGCTCTTACATAGTTAAAACTTTACCATCTTTAGTGTAACTCTTTAAGTTGCCCCTCCCCTCAGAATGTAGGCTCCATGAAGGCAGGAACCAGTCTATTTTTGCTCATTATTATCTCCAGAACCCAAAATATTCCCCAACACGTAATATGTGCTAAAGAATTAGTTCTTGGAGTAAAAGGATGAATGTATAATTATACAGTGATATTTTATTGTCTGTCTTCTTCCAGCTCCATGAGAGAAGGAAACATATCTGTTTTATTCACAACCATATATGTGGTACCTAACACATACTGCATGGTACATAGAAGAAAACATAATAAATTAATTTTTTTAAGGAATAAAAGAATAAATGAATGAGTACGGTTCCAAGGCAGACATTCTAGTAGTTCTACAAGTAGCATGTCAGTGTTTGGGATTTTTTTTTTTAACTATCTTTTGATACAGTTTCCGGTTATAATAGAGCACCAAATACCTTTATTGTCTCCAGAGAACAGTCTTTTGGAAAATATTACTTACTAGCTTGTTCTCCTTACAATATGTCATGCCTGAAATAGGCTGTCTATAAAGATCTTGAATCTATACACTTCTCCCCCCTTTTCGTTGCCGTCACTCTCATCAAAGTCACTATCATATTTCCCCTGGACTAAATTGGGCCACACACTTTTCCTTAAGCATTATTTATTAAACTGTATATAAACTTGGATAGTCCAGAGTTTTTATTGTATCTCAGGGCCAAGTATCATATCTGTTTATGTTACCTCCAAAGAAAGGTAGGCAAGTATAATATTTTTACTACCAAAAAAAGCATAAATAATATTTTATTTTGTTGTGGGAGAGGATTATTTCCATTCTTCATTCTACAAAATATTTCCTTTACTTAAGGAAAATAAGTATTTTTTAAACTAGCAACAAATCTTTGTTTTCAAATGACCAAACTGAAAATATTCAGTTTAAAAAAAAACAAAAACAGCCAAAGACCTTTTAAGTCCCCCTACCTCCCTGCCCCATGAATTCTTAGCCTTTGAGGTACCTGAGATGCTCAAGGAGATTGACAAGAAGAGGCAATTATGCAACTGTGACAGCCCTGAGAATGTGCCCAGTCTTGTAGTCAGCATATCTGGATCCTGCCCTTCCTCCAAGGCAAAGCTCCTGTCTTTCTTCCTCAACAAACCTTCCCTTCACCCACTCATAGCTGTGAATCTCAACTTACTATATGTGTCTAAATAAACATATGTGTATATGTATCCTTTCCTCTCCAATCAGCCTGGGAAGGATGGAACATGTATCTTACACATTGTTGTATCCTCAGAACTTAGTGCAAAATCTTGTAGGTGTAATGTTTTTCTGCTGCTGCTGTTTATTAGTATTATTTTTGCTAATAAGATTTACCAAGCACTTGCTATTGTGCCAGGCACTGTGTTACGCTCAGTAGAGGCTATTATTGTTCCCTTTTAACCAATGACAGTTTAAGTAACTTGCACAAGTCTCATAACTAGTGAGCAGTGGACCCAGGACTCAAACCCAGCTTATCAGATTCCAGAGCTTGTGCTTTTCACCACTAGGATACCTTGTCCCTCGTGAATATTCATAGGTGCCAAACTCTTAACAAGCCTGCATTTGCTCCTGCCTAATGCTGAGAGGGTACCAGGTGAGCAGCTTTGCTTGTAACTACTCAGAGGCATTTCAAATTGTTTTCAAACGAAGTTGTAGCTCTGAAAATAATTAAAGAAACCATTTTTCAAACAGCAGGAAGGGGTGATGTATAGAGGTCCACTTTGACATTTTGATGTGTGTTTAAACACATAGCTCAGGGCTATAAAAAACCACTACACTGAGATTGCAGAAGCATTAAAAATCAAATTGCCTTTGAAAAATTAATAATTTTTTAGAGAACTGTAAATGACATCCTGTCATCTCTGGGGAAATCTTTCCCTAAAGCTCCAAGCCTCTTGGTGACCAGGATGAATAAGTTGGCCTTCCTTTTTGTTTCTCCATTTTCTGCCCCAGAGGGCCAAAAGGAAACCATCTCAGTTTAAGATTTAAGCTTTATTTGTTGAAGTTACTAGCTAGTTAAACTGGAAGCAAGAAAAGCCATTTCATGTTGGCATGACAGTAGAAAGCATTCAGCCGCATTCCAACTTAATGATGGAAGATTAGCCAAGGTTATTATTAAATTTTAATCTCTTCACTTAACTAATAAGGTCGATTAATACCCTTTCTGTCAAGGGAAAAAAAAAGCATTACAAAGTCTTGACTATTGGTATTTTAACCAGCTTACCCTGTTGTATTGTGAGTAAAAGGCACTATATCATGGACCGCTGAGTTTCCTCGAAAGCTCCAGAGAAACAAACAGATGGAGAAAAAAAGTCCAGGTGTAAGATAACCCAGAGACTTGAACCTGTAGCAAAATGGAGTTTCTCCAAATTAGGCAGCAGGAGAAGCAGCAGATAAGAGCAACTGGCAACTGAAGATATCCTTGTTATTCTCTGGGCTAGAATCATGCTGGCAGAAGCTTTAACTAACTAAATTTACTTGCAGGTTCTCCTAAGAGAGTGATCATATTGCACCAGGGTCACTTTTCATAACACACTATTTTGCAAATGAGTTCCCAGGGCCTTGTAAAATATTTGACTTCTAAACCTCAATATAAGTATTAAAATGTCAGCATGTCCATTACATGTCCCAAATATAAAAAATATGAGTTTAACGATCTACTTAAAATGGAAAGTCCAATAATATTTATGACTTCTTAGAGCATACAGTCTTCATTTTGAAAGACTTAAAGCCTCCAGGAGGTGTTTATTCAAAATTAGCATCCAGTAACAACACCTTGGGATATCCCTGTTCTGGCAGCACCTGTAGCCAGATCTGGTTACAGTTATTAAATCTAATGCTGGAGTTGCTGACCTCAGGAAGACAGGTGTCCTCTCCAACAGCAGGTCCCTATTCTGGTCAATAAAATTTGTGCTCTTCAGGCCTGGTCTGTTTGCTCAGGTATGTGGCCAGCATAGTAGCCTTGTCACAAAGAATTAATGGAGTTTTCATCTCTTCCCCAAATAAGTTGCTCTGTAGTTAATTGAGCATTACATTTCCCAAAAGAAATGCTCACTTGGCTAAATACATAATGCCATTCATCAGTTTATTTATTAGTTAATCCAATATTTATTGAATACCTATTATGTGCTAAGCATTGGAAGGTTATGGAGATACAAAAATTAATGACAAGAAATCTCTTTGATCAATAAGCTCAACTTAGTAGCCCAATAATTGTTTGAAGGATCCAGATTAGATCCTCTATCTATATTTTATCCACTCAGCCTAAACTTCAAAGCCTATTTCAGGTCTTATCTCTTCATTCACTCATTTAGGAAAACTTTATTGGATTCTTAAAACTGTGTTAGGCACTGGAATGATGAAGATGAAGAGAATATAATCCCCACCACCAGGATCCCCCAGCCTTGTGGGGAGATATGTGAGGTAGACAGGACCTGATGTGGAAGACGTTGTAAGCCAGGTTAACCAAGGAATACGGGTTTTATCCTACAGCAGCAAAGAGCTATTAGACAACCCTAAGGAAGAGAGAAGCATGATTAAATTTGCATTTTAGAAAAATCAACTTAACAATGACAAAGAAGACAGATAGGTAAGGAAGAATGGCCGGAGGGAGGAAACCAGAGGGGAGGAAAATCCAAATTCTAAAATTATTCAAGAAATAGAAATAACAACATTTTATTAACAAACTGAATGTGAAGACTGAGGGAGAGGATGAAGTCCAAGATGACTTCTACGATTCTGGTCTGAGTGGCATTAGCAGCAGGAGAGGAGGAACAGGGTTAGTGAGAAAATGAGTTCAACCTCAAACATTGCAGGTGCCTTTGGAACATCCAGGTGTCAACATTAGGTTTGCTGTTATAAATGTTTGTCTGCAACTCATGAAAGAGGTAAGGGAAGGAGGTAAGGATGCAGGAGTCATCACCTTATAGACTGTAGCTGAAACATGATTATAACATTATGAATGACATTGCCAATTCTGTAGCCATCTCATACTACTCCCTAGTCCCAAATGCCTTATCCTCATCCAACATTCATTTTTAAAATTAATTTATTATTCATTAGTTAATTTCTTCATTTGGTTGAATAATACCTATGGAACTCTGATATATTCCAGGCAATGCAAAAGACCCTGGGTGTACATACATGAATAAGCTTTGATTCCCTACCCTAAAGGATCTCATAACCTGGCTATTGACTATAAACTAATTCTCTAATTCTATGTGTGTCTGTCATGTCTCCAAGAAGGGATAAACTCCCAAAGTTTATCCTCTTAGGCTCTTTTTAAAAAAAATCCCTGTAAAGACCTAGCACAAAGTTCTGCTCTTTGTAGATGCTCAGTGTGAACATTGAATGATAGAGTGATTACTTATTTTAAAACATAGACCAATTTATTTATTTTTAAATAGTTTTTGGGGAAGAGTTTGGACTAAAAAAGTATTAAATTTTCATTAGAAAAATTTAGAAACTACATTAAAAAGATAAAGAAAATAATAATTATTAATATACTGTCCAAAGATAACCACTATTAATATTTTATGGAAAATACTCATAATCCTTTTTCTAAGTGTAAAAACATGCTTTATTACATTTTTGGTA